AGCCTAATTTATCCGTCCAAAAGAAGTTGCCTAGTTCAGACATTATCCTTACCCGCTTGACCATCTAGGTTTCAATGATTTATCCTGAATTTTTGTGGAATCTTCCTAATTTAGTTGATATTCTACTTGCTACTATATCTTTATTATTATTATAATTATTATAATTTAAGCATCTTTAATGAACTGTGGTAATTCCATTGTGTTCTTACTTTACAAATCGATTTTACTATTTAAAAAGCACACACTGATATTGTTATTGACTACTAATCTAGAATATTCTATGTATATAAACATGCATATATAGATATAATTGTAGAGCGAGAAGAGGAGGAGGAATTTATCGAAAAGCGGGATATTCTTTGCTGGCTCAATTATATTTTGTGTTTTATAGATAGATGTCTGAATGAATATTTTTGCTTTATTGATATTATCTCTCTCTCTCTCTTTTATCACTAAATCAGTAGATGCACACTAAAAATCGTCAATAGCAATTCAAATCGATAAATGAGTTGCTAAACATGTCTCCATTTAAAAAAACAATTAAATCACAAATTTACACTATGCTGAACACATTGAACAGAGAAAAATTACGTATTTCTTATTATCTTTTGTCATCTGCGTACAACCATGAAAAATTTAATATTAGTTTACAAACTATTCAAATACTGTTGTAGTTTTGCAATTAGTAGTGTACTCTGAGGAGCTGGTTGGGGTTTAGTTGCTGAGATTTCGTCGTCGTCCCCCCCCCGGGGTCGGACAACGTCCCACTTCAGCGCAAATTTTTAGCATAAAGTGAAATGATTTAAATTTCTCCATGAGTGGTGATAGAATTGCGTCTCCCGGTAACGATCTTTACATATGTACTGATCAGTTTCTATTGACTTGGATTTTGAACTTTCTCGTCACATGATCTACCTTTTATTGGTTGGTGGATTTGGTCTATATATATATATATATATATATTTATATATCTTTTCACGGCTGATTTGTGTTCTTGGATTCTGATTCTAAGGGGACGCCCACTTCAACCACCGATGTAATGTCCATTACAGCCGCAATTCTTTTTTTTTATTTACAGCTTGATTCCACACCGTATTTTCAGTACAAGTATGGAACTTTCAGCATGGATATCGGTAGCCCAAATTTTGCAGGCCGACCATAGATATCGGGTGTGCGCCGGCAGGGGATCGAACCCCGGACCATGTGCATGGTCGGCGAGAGTCCTAACCACTGTGCCACCGACGCATTCATGGAAAATTTAAATCATTTCACTTTATGCTAAGAATTGCGCTAAAAAGAGATGTTGTCCAGAAGGACGACGAAAGCTCCGCAATTAAAACAACCAGCTCAGAGAACTGTATTAATAGCAAATCATTCACCTGAGCTACAAATCTTCTCTGTTAAAAGATGATCTTTAGCATGCGCTTAACTTAATCTTTTTTTAAATATAGAGTTGATGAGTTTTATTTTTATGCATCGCTATTTCCAGGATATGATCCAGTCATTATCCCCAAATCACAAGTCGGCTGTTTATCCTCTCTTATTTCCCTTATTTCAGACAAGGATGCTTATTATCACCAATGATATTCCTAATTGTGGTGGACTGGATTATGCGTCAGACAGTGGGAAACGAGAAGACACGGATATCCTGGACCGACGTGAAGAACCTAGAAGACCTGGATTTCGCGCGTGGATGATTTATGTTTGATGTCACACAAAATCGAAGACTAACTCACAAGCGAAAACCGACAAACTGGTCGAAGAAGCAGCCAGAGAAGACAGCACTCCAGGTGAACATAGACAACACGGAGGTTACGAAAATAAACAACCAACAGCAACAACAACAGCAGCAACATCCAGCGCCAATCACCATCAACGGGAGGGATTTGAAAGAGGTTGCTTCACTCACTTATCTAGGGAGCATTGTCCCAACTACAGGAAGAACGGACGACGAGGATGTCAAATCGAGAATCCGGAAGGCGAGAAACACATTCATCAACCTGAAACCAATCTGGAAATCTTCGTCACTCAGCCTGCATCAACAACAAAATTCGGATTTTCAATACAAAAGTCAAGTCAGTTTTGCTATACGGATCAGAAACTTGGCGGGTCACAAAGAACATTTTCAACAGGTTTCAGACCTTTATCAACAACTGTCTTCGTTCTATACTGAAGATTAGATGGCCGGAAAGAATCACAAACAAGAAGCTGTGGGAACAAACAAATCAGGAACCAATTGCTCAACAAATATGCAGGCGAAAGTGAAGATGGATTGGACACTCGCTGATGAGGCCGTTGGGTGACACTGCGCGTCAGGCCATGGCTCGAGTGGAACCCGAAAGGGAAGCGGCGAGTGGGACGTTCAAGGCTGACATGGAGGAGATCGTGTGAAGAAGAGTTGAAACAGTATGGACTAACATGGATGCAAGTGAAAAGAGTACAGCAGAAGACAGAAGCAAGTGGAGGCGTGCAGTTGAAGCCCTATGTTACACTAGAAACCCAAGGGAACAATAATAATAATAATTAGGTTTAGAAGACCTAAATAATTACATGCATAGAGTGTGGTTGAATTACTCTGTCGATATAAGAATAGTACTTGTGCACTGTGGTTGTGGTAGAGTATAATTCCATTGTGGGTAACATTTATTTTGGTAAAGTTTCAGTGTGTTGTACACTAGTAATATTTACTGATGACCACGTTTCGAGCACAATTTACTGCTCATGAAATATTTCTGTATTATTCTGTGAGACTATCAAAATAAGTTTTACCCACAGTGGAATTATACTCTGCTGATATCCTAAAACTGAGAGCCAACGATTAGCACGCGTTCAAGGTCATAGGATGGAGCATTCGCACTCCTCGGATGCTGTTGTTGAAATTCGTTTTATTTCTATCACATATGAGAGCAGGGTATCCTTTGTAACACTTTTCTACAGTTTTTATGCACTATTTCATAAATATATATATATATATATATTCCATACACGAAAATGCCTCCTTCACAAGGTTAGGGAGTTCGACGTCATTCACTAGTTGGTAGTTAGTGGTGCTTAAAGTTTAATTTTGCCGGTTTTCTTACATTTCTCAGGCCACTCATGCTGAGTTTCTGATCATAGATGTCTACGATCTCTTTCTCACGTTAGGTGGCATAATAAGGTAAGTAATGTTGACGTTAGGTTAGCCGTAGAGTGTTGGACAAAGAGGGAAAATCAATCGAAGAGGCTATAAAGTTACATAGATTGAGATGGCTAGGTCACGTGCTGCGCATGACTAACCACCGCCTCCCCCTCCCAACGGGCATTACTAGCTGATATAGGTAGGTGCATGTTGGAAAAGAGTAAGTGGTGCCATGCCAAACAAAAACATGGCCTCATCAATCCATGAAATCCCTGACAGTTAAACTGAGTCAGTCATTCAGGGAGATGTAGACTTCCGGGTTGGGGCCCGCCCTCGGGACTCTAAGAATCAATGGCTGGAGACAGACAATAGGTGACATGGCTCAAAATCGTTGTCAATGGCTTACGCAGATGTATTCAGTCTCTGTAATATTCACTCTCATATTCCTTTCTACCATTACTCATTCTGTTTCACTCTTATACTTGTCAGAACTCTATTGATTGATTCTCTTCACTCATCCATCTTCTTGTCTACCTTTGTGTGCTATTTGGAAGGTGGCAACTCGAACTGGTGCACTTCGGTGCCAAGTTCTATGTTGAATCCAGCCAGCCAACTCATGCTTAGACTGCTCATATCGTACTCCTACAGTAGTGACTCAGGTTTTCACTTCATCTTCGGTCATTGTTCATTTTACACTAGTATCTGTCTGCTGTTCCAAATTTATGATTTATTAAGTGAGATTTCTATTTTTTCCTTATTGATATACATATAATGCATTAAAGAAGTCACTGTCACTTGACGTATGTAAGCTCTTGATTAAATATTTGGTTTCAATATAGCAAAAATATTCATTCAGACATCTATCTATAAAACACAAAATATAATTGAGCCAGCAAAGAATATCCCGCTTTTCGATAAATTCCTCCTCCTCTTCTCGCTCTACAATTATATCTATATATGCATGTTCATATACATAGAATATTCTAGATTAGTAGTCAATAACAATATCAGTGTGTGCTTTTTAAATAGTAAAATCGATTTGTAAAGTAAGAACACAATGGAATTACCACAGTTCATTAAAGATGCTTAAATTATAATAATTATAATAATAATAAAGATATAGTAGCAAATAGAATATCAACTAAAATTAGGAAAATTCCACAAAAATTCAGGATAAATCATTGAAACCTAGATGGTCAAGCGGGTAAGGATAATGTCTGAACCAACCAACTTCTTTTGGATGCACAAATTAGGCTTGTTAATCTGGATCCCAACAGCCAGCCAGCCTCAGCAATCTTTAGTAGTCGAACTCTTAAGGCGATATTGAGATTTGTTAGTTGGTATGCGGTAAATAATGTGGGAGATGTTCTTGAGCGAGCGACTGAGCACGAAAAATCAAGTTCCTAGAGCAACAACGGCCAATATAACTCGCTCCACAAGCACAAGCACAGTTGCAGTTGAATTGGTAGATACAATTTGAAGTAGCCAGTTAGTCTAGTCTAGGTACTTCATCTTTCAGTCAAGGTAGCACCATCGATCGTGTGTAGAGAATAATACGTGTGTAGTTCGCCGCCAGCATTAAAAATCCCTTGAACTGATTTTCTTAATTTCTTCGTAATTATCTCGCTTGGTATATCGATCGCCCATGAATTGTAGTCGTATATATAAAGAGGCTTCTTCTTGTTTACGGATAGTGAGTAGTCCTTTTCCGCTTTCACTATATTGTATATGTAACTGTAGAACCTGATGATGATGAAGGGGTTATCGAAAGGAGTACTTCTTCTTTGTTGAGTGTTCGTTCTTTTAAAAAAAATAACCCTGAAAGTAGTATGGCCTTTTGATAAAATCTTTTAATTCTGTTTTTTTGTTGTTGTGAATACAGTTAGATGAGAATCAAGGTAGTAGTGGTGAGAATCATCTTTGTTTTCCGTTCAAGTCACCAGTACGCGCATCCTCTTCTGGATCGGAACTTTTTATACCACGTTCAAAAAATAAGGTGAGTGAGTATGTTTCACAACTGAATTATATTATATTACATATATGCTTACATATAATGTTAGTGCGTCGGTGGCACAGTGGTTAGGACTCCCGCCGACCATACACATGGTCCGGGGTTCGATCCCCTGCCGAAGCACACCCGATATCTATGGTTGGCCTGCAAAATTTGGGCTGCCGATATCCATGCTGAAAATTCCATACTTGTACTGAAAATACGGTGTGGCATCAAGCTGTAATCAAAAAAATAAAAAAAAAAATAGTTAGTGTACTTTCACTGACATGCACCATTCACCATGATGAATCGTTTCTAAAGTTGTCTGCGTCATATTCATTCGTTCATTCAGTCTTATATGGAGATTTAGAAAACAGAAAGATTGAGCAGCGAAGAAATATTTACCTTTTCAATTAGATCCTCCCTCATTTCACTCTGGCTCTACTCTAATATACACGTATCGCATTTTTATTACAATACACAACAGTTTACCAATCAAGTGGCACTGATATGTTTGTTTGCTTGTTAACAATAATTAGTCAGTCAGTGTCAACATGTCAAGCAGGCGGCAAGGGGTGATAATTAACGAAGAAAATCAATGCACACACACACAATCAGAAAGGTAGAAATGGTTAGAATAAATTAGAATTTTACAAGGATAACAAACACGTAATTAAAGATGAAGTAGTCAGGAAAAACAAATAAAGTAATTTGGACAATTATAATGTTTAGGGGGAGGAGGGCGAAGTAGTCGGGTTTATACATTCATGTAACGACAGCCAAGGAAGGTGGTTGTACAAATTTCTTGTGAACACCCACACAGGTTTGTTGGCTTCTTCGTCAGGTGGATTCCTATTGCTTCACCTGTAGGTATGTAGAAGACAAACTCGTAAAGCAAAATTAAGATAAGTAGGAATGCGATAGATAATTTTAAATGCAGTATGAACATCAACCTTATGCTCACTATCTACAAGGTGTGTTAAAATAGAGCTACGAATAGATCTTGTTTGTCCCTTGCTGCTTAACCATGCTGCAGGATGATATTCGGAGATACGATGATGAACCTGCCTAATTGTACGCCCCCCGATGTATCTGGCTCCGCAGCTGCAGTCAAACTGGTAGATACACATAGAGGCGGAGGCAAATTTAGGTAGTTTATCATTATTTCTCGAACATAGAATAGGGGTGGTTGTGAAGAGACAATATACCTCTGCTGCATAATAAGGTCTTTTAACTGCATTCTTCAGGTGTTCGCTGTGTTATGATTTCGCTGATGTTGTCACCGAGGAACTGCAATTTTATGAACATTGGTTTTTTCGAAACTGTAGCCATACTGACTCTCCTTGGTGCTGAATTCATATTTTTCTCAATGAATTTATCTGGATAACGATTTTTTCTAAGTGATTCTCTAATAATCTTAAGCTCCTCACTGAGGCAGTTGTTTGAACAGATTAACTTAGCTCAATAAACCAGACACTTTACCAGGTTACGCGTTCATAGTGAGTGTACTGACCTGTTGTTGTAGGTTTCCTATACACACACTCCTTCTTAGTGTGCCATCTTCTTTCCTTGCCATGGAGACATCTAGGAATGAGATACTATCATTACTTTCTTTCTCTCTGTGGTAAAGTTTATTGCTGAATGTGCATCATTAAACTTGTCAAGGATGTATGTATATTAGAGTAGAGCCAGTGATGAGGATCTAATTGAAAAGCACATATATCTTCACTCAATCTTTCCGTTTTCTAAATGTCTAAATGGGGATTTTTTTTATATAGAGATGATTGTAGCATTGCTTACAATGTATCGATGATATAATAAATGTGTTTTCGAAGTTGTGAATATATAATATCTTTAGCTGATAGATAGTTAATCGGTTCGTGTGGTAGTGAGACTGTCTGATGTGAGATAGATAGTCTTGGTTTCCATATCAGTTTGTTTATTAGATGTATGTATCACACAAAGTCAGTCAGTGAGTGACTGAAACAGTATTAGTATTTAATGGATGACAAAGTTGTTTCGAATACAATTCATTATTATTGCTGTTCATAATCATACACATCACCAACTATAATCACACAACTTCGAAACTTGAGGAGTCTGAAAGTTTTCTTTGTCCTCTCCTATTTGTCATCGTCGTCTTTGGGGTAGTAGAATATTCCAGATATTGGGGTGGATAAGTGTTGAATCATTCCTATTGCAGGTATCTATTCGATAAACAAAGCTTCCATTATCAATCTTCCCCACTTGCCACCCTGTGACATGAGATTTCAAAACTGTCATCCTATCCCATCCAGCCTATTGTATGGTTGTGTTTAACTGCATATAGTGAGTGCTATGATGTATGTATTTAGATGACACATTCACTGTACTTAGAACACAGGATATATATAGATCTTTCGAGCACATTAACTCTAAGGTGGAGGCAATTCAATTCAATTCATTTATGAATTAGAAAGTAAGGAAGGGGAGCTTCCAATATTAGATTGCAGTGTAAAAAGGAAAGAAGATGGGAAGTTAAACACGCTAGTGTGTGTTTACAGGAAACCCACACATTCAAACAGATATTTGGACTTCCGATCATCCCACCCAATCTATGTCAGTGAATATAGGATTGGTGAAATGCTTAAATAATAGAGCACAGAAACTAAGTACTACCAAGGAAAATCTAAGACAGGAAGTGAAGCATATAAGAGATGCCTTGAAACTTAATAATTACCCTGATAAATTAGTCAGAAAGCATGTAGGGAAATGTAAATATAGAAATAAAATATTTGATGATAGTAGTGACAGTGATCATAACAACATAAATGACGACATGCATTTGAAACATGCGCAAGACAACACCAACAATTAGGAATCTAAATCATCAGTAGTAATTCCATACAAGAAAGGGACCTCGGAGACGGAGAATTCTTTACAAGGTAGGCAGGACTAAAAGTGGCTGGTATTCAAACCAACCACAATCTCAACTAGAGACAAGCTTTGTCCGTTAAACGATAAATCCTGTTGAGCCTATAAAACAAAACAATTTAGTTTATCTAATACCCTGCCTGCGATGATTGTCAGGTCGAATACATGCGTCAAAGTAGTAGGATAGGGGCAGTCAGTCAGACTAGCTGAACTTAAAAACCTAGCAAAATCTAGATTAGTTGACCTGAATAAGATAAGAAATCTGGCGAATAGTTCAGCTGTCGCAAGCACCTCATGCAATTGCACACAACCATACAATAGGCTGGATGGAATAGGATGACGCTTTTAAAATCTAATGTCACAGGGTGAATAGAGGGAGAGATTGAAAGTAGAAACTTTGTTTATCGAATCAACTGCAAATACATGTAACAGTGTGGTGAGAGCTGTCTACTAGCCAAATTGGTAGACAGTAATTTACGTCAATATTTACGTTCCCAAGATTTGTCTTGAGAAAATGTGAACAAAGATTGATTCAAAACCGACCACAGCAGACTTTGCGTAGGCGGATGCAGTTAACATATAGAGGATTTGACATTCAAGAAACAGTCACAAATAGATGAAAGATTAACTTTACGTGAGAAACAACCACCAATCGGAAGACTGTGTTTGTTTGCTTAAATATCCATAGTAATGTACATGCAAATATATAAATATGCGTTGATTTCCTTAATAAATGATCTGTTGCCTGACTCCTGCCTTCTGTCGTTACAACAGGAATGATTCAACACCTATCCAGCCAGATATCTGGAAAATTCTACTACTCCAATGACGACGACAAATAGGATAGGACAAAGAAAACTATAACACTCTAGTTTTGAAGTCGTGTGATTATAATTGGTGATGTGCTTATGAACAATAAATTATGTTGGAAACTGTGTCATCCAGTGAATACTAATACTGTTTCACTGTGTGACTGTGTGATATATCTAACAAACTAATGTGACAGGCTGTTTTCTGTCAGCACACCGCTCTCTGCACTCTTGTGCAAAGTTCTCCGGTGAATGAAGTCATACCGCTTCCAGTTGCAATATTATTTTCTATGTTTGTTTAATTACTTTTCTAGGAAATATATATATATATATAGAAGGTTGGCTTAAAATATAATTCATCGTGCTGAAGTTTCTATAGCAAGTTTGTGTACAGGATGGGGTTGCTAGCCAGCCCCACGCCTGAGAAGGGGTGGGTGTTGTTACATTGAAATAATATATAGTTAGTTTACACAGAAGCCACCTACCTTGTGGGTTGCTCCTTTCCTTGAAATCAGGAAAACAAGGAATAAAGCAATCAGGACAACAACACCAGCAAAGGGAAAATAATTCACAACAAGAAGGGCAGCGACAAAAATGATACCACAGTCATGGACTCACTGACTTCCTCAGCCAACTTAGACATGTAAATCCATCAATATATATGCAATTATACAAGATATTAGTTAGTGTTAGACAGTCACAAAATGACAAGCAGATAGTTATAGGTATTATCGGTCAACAAGTTTATATACACAGATAGGTAGAGTGTTCAAAGGCAAATAATAATTACAATAAATTCCACAACTTCTTGGCAAGAAATTCTACAGAAACAAGAGTTTTATGTAACTGAGTAAATGTAGCCTTGCAATTGAAAAGTGCGTCAAGCAAAACAGCAGGAACCGATTGTGCAACAAATATATCCAGGAAGAAATGGAGGAGGTGGATTGGATTGTGGCCATACTCTGAGAAAACAAACTATCAAGTCAGTGACATCACTAGACAAGCCATTGCTCGAGTGGAACCCGACCGAATGGGAAGCAGCGAGTTGGTCGTCAGTGCAAGGGTGAGGGTGACTTGGAGGAGGTCATGTGAAGAGGAGATGATGAAAGCATGTGAGCAGACTTGGTTGGAGCCAGGTGAAAACTTTAGCAGAGAACCGAATGCAATGGAGACGTGTGCGGCTAAAGAAGCCCTATATTCCTCTAAGAATTAAAGGAAATAATAATAATAAGTAAAATATAATTATCAAAGGAATGGATACTGAACAAAAAGTACTCTTTTCCATAAATTCATCATCAGACTCTACAATTATATATACATTATAGTGAAAGCGGAAAAGGACTACTCACTGTCTGTAAACAAGACGCCTTTATATATACGACTACAATTCAAGGGCGATCGATATACCAAGCTAGATAATTACGAAGAAATTAACAAAATCAGTTCAAAGAACTTTTAATGCTGGCGGCGAACTACACATCTTATTCTTCACACACGACCGATGGTGCTACCTTGACTGAAAGATGAAGTACCTAGACTAGACTAGCTGGCCACTTCAAATTTTATCTACCAATTCCACTGCAAGTGTGCTTGTGCTTGTGGAGCGAGTTATATCGGCCGTTGTTGCTCTAGGAACTTGATTTTTCGGGCTTGCTCGCTTGCTCGAGAACATCTCTCACTATGGCTAAGTAAAGGTGTGTAGTGAAAACCATCATTAACAGTTCGATATTGGAGCACCAGGTGCAAACCGACCACAAAGACAATGTGGAAGAATCCTTCTCTATTATCATCTACCGGGCGCCTAATAAATTTCCAAAATCATCATCGAAGCACCGAATGCTCCAAACAGCAGAGGCTATTGCAATTCGCCTCAAACAACCAGTGAGTGTTCTGTGTGTGTGGAGAAGAAGCAAGTCCAGCCAGCTAGCCACTACTACTGCCCTGGCCGACTGTCCTTCAGTGGGTGGAGACTATCAATTCATGAATTTGTAATATTATCTTTCCTAATTTCTCTGTCTCACATTCAGTGTGTATTGTTCTGTTGATGCAATTGAACTGTAATCCACTGGTATTATTATTATTATTGATTCGATGTTATTTGAACAGCAACATTCATGTTGTTGTTCATTACACTAATTCATTCATTCATTCCTTCATTCACTATAATGGATGGATATGTAACTGTAGAGCCTGATGATGATGATGATGAAGGGGTTATCGAAAAGAGTATTTATTCTTTGTTCAGTGTTCATTCTTTTGAAGAAATTTTTAATGATCAGTAACTTTTTTATTTTACAATTTTATCATTCTACATTTCCAAAGTCAAATGTTAAGCAACTACCTAAAAAGAAATCACCAATACGTGCAAGTACTACATCCTCGTCAAGTTCTGATCTCTTCATACCTCGTCCAGCAAATAAAGTAAGCCGACGGTTTTTTCTTTTTTACGGGTAAATTGGTGTTTTATTATTTCTTTGACTATTTTTTTTGGTGAATTCCAAAGTGTTTTTGGACACAAAATCCCTTTAGTGTTCATTGCTTCAATTTCTTAAATTTATTTTACATAAACTCAACAGCTCAACAGTCCGCTCCGTCCTCCTTTATGGCTAGCTGTGAGACCTGGCCATTGAGAGCAGAAGACATGAAAAGATTAGCTGTCTTCGACCATAGGTGCCTGACTGCGTTCTATCTCCCGTGTGAATTGGTAAAATAGAGTGAGCAATATCAAGGTTAGGCGTCGGTCGAGTGCTAGGTAAGGAAGGAGGTGAAATCAATCGAAGATGCCTTGGAAATTACATCGATTGAGATGGTTAGGACATGTGTTACGTATTTATCCCTAGCCATCGCCTTCCATGACCAAAAATGTTAGCTGACTGACACAGGATCGATCTGGTTGGAAAAAAACCTCTTAGTGATGGTATAACCAGAGCATGGCTTCATTATCAGTCAATGAAATCCACAACAGTTAGTTCAAGTCAGCCAGCCAGCCACGTAGGAAGGTGTAGAATTCATGACTGGTTGTAGTCCTCGGGACGGACAGTGAAAACCAATGAAGGCTGGAGACAATCGATGATATGGCCAAAAATCGTTCTCAATGGCTGGCTGTCTGGCGCAGATGCATCCACTCCTTGTGACTTATAATATCTAATAAAAAACTATAATACAATTCTTTTTATCTCATATCCTTGTCTACTATCTCTTTTGCATTTTTTGTTGTTGCTTTCTTGTCTTGCTTTTTGTGCTGAATGTAGTTTGGCGCCTTGAACTCCTGCTCCACATCGATCCATAATTCTATGGTGATGAAACCAGTCGTCAGTCAGTCAATTAGTTCGCTTCTTGTATCAGGGAATTCAGAGAAGGCACCATTTGGTGGTGGTGAGTTACAATAGATGTGTGTTTAGTATTATTATTATAATATTATTATTGTATCCTTTAATTCCTAGAGGAACATAGGGCTTCAGCCGTGCGTCTCCATTGCGTTCAGTTCTCTGCTAGAGTCTTCACCTGGCTCCATGTCTGCCCACACGTTTTCATCTCCTCTTCACATGACCTCCTCCAAGTCACCCTTGCATTGACGACCAACTCGCTGCTTCCCTTTCGGGTTCCACTCAGGGGCTTGTCTAGTGATGTCACTTGATGGTTTCCTCAGAGTATGGCCAATCCATCTCCATTTCTTCCTTCCTATTTGTTTCACAAGCGGTTCCTGGTTGGTTCGCTCCCAGAGATATCTGTTGCTGATCTTTTTCTAATTCATCTCATCTTAAAATGTTGATTCAATCAACTCTTACAACTTCATAAGCGCGCATGCATTTTTGTGCAGATTATTGTATATATATATTTTTGGTAAGTTCTGTGCCGCAGTGTGTGTGTGTGTGTAGCTGAAATAACTATTTTTCAGCATGCTAAATGTTGGTAGGTGAAATGTCCGTCCGTCCTTTATGGCTGTGAGACCTGGCCATTGAGAGCAGAAGACATGAAAAGATTAGCTGTCTTGGATCATAGGTGTCTGTGTTCTATCTCCCGTGTGAAGTAGTATAATAAGGTGAGCAATATTGAGGTGAGGCATCGGTCGAGTGCTAGGTAAGCAGGAGGGGAAATCAATCGACAATGAGGCTGTGAAATTACATCGAATGAGTGAGATGGTTAGGACATGTGTTACGTATGCCTAGTCATCGCCTTCCTCGACAATGGGCAATATTAGCTGATATAGGGCCAGGCTGGAAAAGAGAGAGCTAGCGTCAGTCAAACGAAAACATGGCTTCACCAGTCAATGAAATCCACAACAGTTAGTCTAAGCCACGTAGGAAGGTGTAGACTTCCTGACTGTCTGGTTGGGGTCCTCGGGACGGTAAAACCCAATGAAGGCTGGGAACAGTTGGTGACATGGTTGGCTCAAAATCGTTCTCAATGATGGCTGGCTGGCGCAGATGCATCCACTCCTTGTGAATTATGATTTCCAATAGAACTATATTGTTCTTCGTTGTTACTATTCCTTTGTCTCACCACACCTCTGTTTACTGTCTATATTATTATGCATTTCTCCTACTTTCTTCTCTTGCTTTGTGTGCTAAATGGAGTGGAGGGAGTGTGGCAACTTGAACTGATGCACATCGGTGCAGCAGTTCTATGTCGAAAACCGACCGACCGAGTGCTTGTTGTTATCATCTTGTTACACCGGCTTCGTTGGGTGATATGGATGGGAATGTGCAACTAATACAAACCCAACGGAATTTCTGCCTGTGACTGTTTGACGCTGCAGAGAGACAGCGACAGAGTTGTTGGCGAAATAAGTCGTGCGTGTGTGTGTATGTAAGTGTGTTGAACCCATGTCTTGACGTCATGAGGTGAGGGATAGTTTGGTTGTGTCAGCGACTCCTTGTGTGGTGGTGGTGGTGTTTAAAGGACCACACATGACGCATTGCTTCGATATTTCTCACACTGTGCCGTGTCTTCTACTGACAACATTTATCAGTAGTATATAGAGACACACAGATTCACAGGAAGTAGCCACAATCGAAAACAGGACTTTTCGTCAAATCAATGGCTACAAAAGTAGAAGCTCAGACAAAGTAGCATCATAATTATTACTGAGAAGATTGACATTGACTGTGCAATTAGGGTTTAGAAATGTAGAAATAACAACAATAGATAGATAGACAGGATGTTTGGATAACAAAAAAATCTAGTGGCATCATGACTAATGTGACGAATAATTGTTTGTGCAATCAGGGATTAAATGTGTAGAAATAATAAAATGACAAAATAGACAGGTAGTACGGATATGAAGATATGGTAGTGTAAATAGGAGAGGGATTATGAAAAATTAAAATAACATGAATAAACAGAAAGTTTGGATAAGAAAGTCAATGGGATGGTCACTCTTAGAAGAATTACCTGTGTTATGATGATGTGTTATGATGGCCATGGCAGGGACAAAGTTTGGACGTATTTCTATTGGATACATAGCATGGGTTTGAGCTTTTGGGATAGCTAGTGCCTCGGCTATGCCCAGATATCTTAATTTTACTCCCTTTGATAGGTTTGATCGAATCTTCTATATTATTTTAAAGGATTTTTCGAATAGGGCTGAATGTCCTGAATTGACCAAATATTCTGTCACTGAACTATATACAGGTTTTCGTTCTCCTTTTACTAACCAGGCTGGATAGTGTTCACGAGTTGGCGCATGTTACGGCCGATGTACTCAGCAGCTCCGCCAAAGAGCAAGTAAACTGCTGGTATATGCACTTTAAAGTGGCCCAATGCGACATCTTGTCTTTCGCGTTTTGGTTGAACAGTTTCTTGCAGGAAAACGTTAATCGTAGGCTCGCGGTGAAGTATGTCTTTCTCAGAGATTTGCAGAGGCGTTTACGAAGGATTTCTGCTTCAATGTCACCTTTGAATTTTAGATTAAGCAGAAGTATGTTTTGGAGGAAAAATTGGACTTGTTTGGAAGTCTTCTTTGATTTAAGGTTCTTGTCTATGAACCTTGGCGGAAAACCGTTTTTCCATCAGGCTTTTTTTCGGAGATTACTCAGTTCTTTATCAATCACCTCTTCCTGCTGCATATCTTCCGAATCCTCGATGAAAGAGCGTATATCAGGTTCCTCTTTCTGCTTAGGGGCACAAAACTTTGACAGTTGATGAATTGTCCTACTTCCTAGTTGTAATACTGTTAATCTGACCCTTAAGCAGAAATTATTCTGAAACTTTCCTACCCATTTATTATTATTATAAATACACGAATGTACAGCTCTGTCTAGTTGATGATTTCGTCGAAAAGAAAATTTTCTTCGCTGCAACTGTCTTTTTTTGCAATTAAAAGTGTTCTGTGAGCTGGTTGGTTTAGTTGCGAAGCTTTTGTCGTCCTTCTGGACAACATCTTCAGCGCAATATTTAGCATAGAGTGAAATGATTTAAATTTCTTCATGAGTAATATAATTGTGTCTCCTGGTAACTGTCTTTACATATGTATTGACCACTTTCTATTGACTTGGATTTTAAACTTTTTGGTCACCTGATTTACTTTTTATTAATTGTTATATTTCATCTATATTAACGTGTTTGTTAATCGCATTTTTGCTTGAGTACCAGGCTTCTAGGAATTCTCTGGCACTTTTAGTGTTTCCTCTGTCTACGATTTTGACATTATCCCAATCAAACTGATGACCATAATTGTCTGCATGCATTGATACTAAAGAATACATATCATGTCTTTTCACGGCTGATTTATGTTCTTGGATTCTGATTCGAAGGGGACGCCCACTTTGGCCAATGTAATGCTTGTTACAGTTCATACAATTTATTTTGTAAATGGTATTACTTTTATCCCCTTTTCCTGTTGGATCTTTTGGTTTGCATAATATCGAATTAAGCGATTTTACTGGTTTGTGTGCTATATCTATATCGAACGGTTTCAGTATTCTGGCTGTTATTTCAGAGATATTCCTCATGTATGGTAGAATGAATTTTCTTGTGGTCTTTGATGATGATGGTTTCTTGTTGGTGTTTTGATTCGACTTTAAACACTTTTTGATGAAATTGTGTGGATAACCATTCTACAAACGGTCTTCAAAAAGAATGGTTATCCACACAATTTCATCAAAAAGTGTTTAAAGTCGAATCAAAACACCAACAAGAAACCATCATCATCAAAGACCACAAGAAAATTCATTCTACCATCCAAGTCAATAGAAAGTGGTCAATACATATGTAAAGATAGTAACCAGGAGACGCAATTACATCACGCATGAAGAAATTTAAATCATTTCACTTTGTGCTAAATATGGCGCTGAAGGGGGATGTTGTCCAGAAGGACGACGAAAGCTTCGCAACTAAACCAACCAGATCAGAGAACACTTTTAATTGCAAATCACCCACCTGAGCTACAAATCTTCTCTAATACTGTCTTTTTTATTATTCCCTATGATCAAATGTGAATATTCCGTAATTTGAAAAAAGTAGAAGCGTTTATATCTGAAACCCGGAGCTTCGCTTACATTGTGGCGGTGGTGAGGAAATAATCTCAAGGTTGAAGCGTCCTCTCACCTAGCCAACCATAAATATGACTAAACATGTATTTAATTGGTGGATGGTGACTAGCAGTAGTGGAATCCAGTCCAGGATAACGCGCATTTCACCGTTCCTATTTGGGACTCGTCAGTTGGCTAGATGTACCTGCATTCCTCAGTCAATGAGTCAGTGATGATGTTCCCCGCACCGAGGCTCGAACCCACTGCCCATAGTTTCAAACGCCGAATCAATCGACAGGGAAATGTAAAATTCAATTAAATAATTAATATGACCCGTTGAACAAGAAGTAGGGTGGCTCTCGTGGCCCAAGCGGTCTAGTGGATAACGCTTTCGCTGCTGGTGTTAGAAACTATGGCCACTGGGTTCGAGCCTCGTTGGTGGGAACATTATCACTGACTCACTGAGAAATGCAGGTACATCCAGCCAACTGGTGAGTCCCAAATAGGACGAAATGCACCTTATCCTGGATTCCACTGCTAGTCACCATCCACCAATTCAATTCTAATTAAATCCCCAGACAGACATCGTCGAAGCATCTGCACAAGAAGCTAACAGAAGTGTCAACCTGAGACCGACGAGCACTTCGGTCCAATCAATCAATAAATCGAGGGGAAAATCTAAAATTCAATTAAAAGAATAAACATGTATTGTGTGATTTCGGCTCAACGAAAAAGTCCGTTACGCGAAATCTCTTGCATTTTTCCCTTTACATATGTTGTCGGTTCTTCCGAAAAGAACAAACATGAATATATATATCATGGCGTGCTGCTTTCGAAGAAGGAGTTATCATGGGTTCTTGTGGGACTTCGATGGAGGTGGTGGGCACCAATTGCTGGGATTTCGGATGTTTTATGGATGGTGATAAAAAAAGTTATCGGGTAGCGTAATATTCCAGGAACCATTCGTCCATTCCGAATACTTTCATGAGATTGGTGTTGATTGTGGGGCACGTCACATAATATAGAGGAGTGGAATCAATTTTACTACAATTAATTATATAAGTAGTGGAGGGAGGATTGAGCTTCATTATAATGAAGGTTTTTGTATTTCCCAATGAATAAAAAACAAAACGATATTGTTGTTTTTACTGACGTTTCGCTATTTAATGCTTATAGCTTTATCAAAGTATTATTAAAACGGAATTTACAAAATCTCAGCATATATATAACAAAGAGTTAAGAGTTGGGTGAGAAAATAGACTACTTAGGTCAAGTTAAGAGGAGGACATATTGAAGTTAAAATAACAATGAAGATCACTAAACCAAATAACAAAGGTAATAGGATGTCTGTTATGATATCAAAATAAAGTTTACTAACTTGATCATCGTTCGTCTGTCTGGGGGCATTTTTTCCGTTGTCAAGTTGGTCTATTGGTAAAGATAACAAAACCAAGTATAGATTGTTGGATTTGATCGGTGTGTAAAATTATAAAAGCAGTGTGTGTTAACATAGTGAACTTGCTTATCACATTCGTGTTGATTTTGTCACTTGGTGGGGGAGGGACGTGTTGTAACCAGGTCAGATTCTGTTTTAGTCCATCATTCCTATTTAGGCAATTTTGATTCCACTAGATATGAAGTGCTTCTGATGATATGAGACGTTCTTTGTGATTTCTGAAGATTTTCTGGATGACGATTTCAATATTGTCAAAATCAATTTTGTGGCCTGATTCTATAGCATGTAGACCTATGGCTGATGATTTTTCAAGTTATTGTAGTTCAACAGGATTTCTTGGTGGTCGAAGAGATGCTCTAGGGTGTGTATTTCTTCTGATTTTGATTTCTCGAGATGTTTGTCCGATGTATATCGCATCTCACCCTCTAACTGTTTGTTATATATATACTGAGATTTTGTAAATTCCGGTTTAATAATACTTTGATAAAGCTATAAGCATTAAATAGCGAAACGTCAGTAAAAACAATATCGTTCTGTTTTTCATTCATTGGGAAATACAAAAACCTTTATCATAATGAATATCATATACCACCCAATGCCCAAATTTTTTCAAACCGTTAAAAGTGAACTAGGATTGAGCTTGTTTATTAAGGATGCGTGAAATGTTAGCTCGTGTACGCATGCAGGAACTTTATGGGGTGGACCAGTGAAGACGACATACACACACACACACAAGTGGATTTAGATTTCAGGCTGTAATGAAAGTGTACAGACGGTGGGTGTCCTCACTCCTATCTATAAAGGTTTTGTAGTACCACGAATAGGCTGACGAAAATGGACAACTTGTTCACAAAGAGAGAGAGAGAGATGTTTTAGCAGTGTTTGAGACTGCAAAAATACTGCCTAGGAAGTTTTTATTGCTGATGAAGATACACTCTGTTAAAAATCATGCGTATTAGCTTGTGAGGCATGTTTGTTTACAGTTGTGTGTGTGTGTCATATGCGTCGAGTGGTATAATAAGGTGAGCAATATTGAGGTGAGGCATCGGTCGAGTGCTAGGTAAGGCTAGGAAATCAATCGACGAGACCATGGAATTACATCGACTGAGTGAGATGGTTAGGACATGTGTTACGTATGCCTAGTCATCGCCTTCCTCGACAATGGGCAATATTAGCTGATATAGGGCCAGACCAGAAGAGAGCTAGCGGTGGTCAAACGAAAACATGGCTTCACCAGTCAATGAAATCCACAACAGTTAGTCTAAGCCACGTAGGAAGGTGTAGACTTCCTGACTGTCTGGTTGGGGTCCTCGGGACGGTAAAACCCAATGAAGGCTGGGAACAGTTGGTGACATGGTTGGCTCAAAATCGTTCTCAATGATGGCTGGCTGGCGCAGATGCATCCACTCCTTGTGACTTATGATTTCTAATGAAACTATATTCCGTTCTTCGTTATTACTATTCCTTTGTCTCACACCACACCTCTGTTTAATGTCTCTCTATTATGCATTTCTCCTACTTTCTTCTTTTGTTTTGTGTGCTACAAGGAGTGGAGGAAGAGTGGCGACTTGAACTGGTGCACATTGGTGCAAAGTTCTATGTCGAAAACCGACTGACCATATGCGTCGATTGATGATGTCAGGTGAAATGTGAAGTTGGGGGAATTCTGTCCATGAAGTAGAAGCCAGGGGGGGCTGGTGGGAGATCTACAATAAGACGCTAAGCATTGTACGTCTTTTGTTTCACAATATAAATATCATTATGCCAGTTAGATTAATAAGATATTTTTTTATAGCTCTGATACCTACCTTTATTTATTGATTATTTTTTATCATTGCAGATGATCCACATCGTGAGTCAATGACTTTGGTAAGCGAAACTGTCTCTGAAGATACTGGAAATGAATTAGCTGTTCCGGCGGAGAGGAGAAGGTAAGAATGTATAAATGAAATTAAGAGTTGTTCACGGATTGATATCAGTGTGGAGTTAGAGAGAAGCATTGAAAACCAGCCACAGGGAGTACTGCCAGACAGCCAGCTATTTCATCAGCCTAGTTTGAGAATCATCATCGGCAGTACGCACCCACCACTGCTCCGGGGTTCGAACCAAGGAGCTTCCGGTTACAAGGCAAGCTAGCTGGCTCGTATACCATTCAGCCACCACTGACTGGGACCCGATTCCTCAATGGCCAGCCAGTGCATGAATTCTAACGTCTACAGGATGGAGTTTCCTGGAGTCATTCGGTTCTAGTGAGAAGTCGTGAGGTCCAGTGAGGTCCATCCAGATGTCATGTGTGAGGATGGATATCCCACCGAGGACATTGCCACGAGTGACACATGTCCTAGCCATTTAAAATCGGTGCACTTTTACAACCTTATGAACTGGCTTCTTCCACCTTACTAGTCATCACTCTACGCCTAACATCAGTACTCTACTGAGCATACTAGTATAGCTGCACTACCTAAGAGGCGAGACAGATCACCAACACATTTGAAGTTAAAGACAGCTAACCCTCTTTGAGTCTTTCTTCTACATTCGATGATCATGTCTCACAGCCATAAGTCCATAAGGAAGGAGACAGGGTGAGATGTTGCGCAGTAAATACGTCTATTGACCAATAGTCGGATGTCTTCACCGTCTACACCAAAGATGATATATATAAGTTGACGAATGCCACACACAAGTGGAGTGCAAATTAATTATATAAATGAAACAAAAATAAACAGTTTATCATATATTTTTTACGAGTTGATCACGGATTGATATCAGTTAGAGAACCATTGAAAACCAGCATTGCGGGGAGTACTAGACAGCCACCTGTTTCATCAGCCTAGTTTGGGAATCATCGGCAGTACGCACCCACTACTGTACCGGGGTTCGAACCCAGGACCTGCCGGTTACAAGGCAAGCTGGCTCGTATACCATCCAACCACTGGGTTATGATTCAATGGCCAGTGCATGAATTCTAACTTCTACCAACTCGTGATGCATTTGGCGTGACTGGCACCAATCAATGTCGTCGGTGGGACATCCATCCACACACGTGACATCTGGATGGACCTCACGACTTCTCATTAAACTGACTCCAGGAAACTTCATCCTGTAGCTAGTGGTCACTAGCGAGCATCCGATTAATTTTCTATAATTTGGTTTGTTAGGGTTAGTTATGTTATGTTTTTACGAATTGACCACGAATTGATATATCAGTTAGAGAAGCATTGAAAACCAGTCACAGGGAGTTCCGCCACACAGCTGTTTCATCAGCCTAGTTTGGGAATCATCGGCAGTACGCACCCATTGGTTTAATCCCGAATCGGTAGCAGTTAGAATTCATGCACTGGCTGGCCATTGAGGAATCGGGTCCCAGTCAGTGGTGGCTGAATGGTATACGAGCCAGCTAGCTTGCCTTGTAACCGGAAGGTCCTAGGTTCGAAACCCAGTGCAGTGGTGGGTGCGTACTGCCGATGATTCCTAAACTAGGCTGATGAAACAGCTGGCTATCTGGCAGTACTCCCTGTGGCTGGTTTTCAATGTTTCTCTAACTCCACACTGATATCAATCCGTGATCAACTCGTAAAAATGTATCTTCTATGTTAGTACCTAAGGTTATTATGACTAAAGTATTCAGGTTTGTGGGTGTGAAATTAGTGGTGATTTGGGTCTTCTAAGGTGGTCGGTGTAAAGAGCGTGAGCAGAATTGCTCTACACAGTCTTCACTCTTGAAGGTTGTTTCTCGTGCGTCAATTTTACAATATCCTGTAAACAGTTAATCAATCAATGCATGAGAACACTGTAGTAGTGGTTTCTGGAGAAAAAAATGCTAACAGATAATTTAATAATTCACATGGTAGCAGCATTAAGAACACAAGGTATATTCAGCGAAGAGACTCTTTTCAACAACGAATTTATTATCAAGCTGTACAATCGTTTATATATGGTTTTTATAACAAATTATATCCGGTGAGGAAGGGAATTAGATCAAAGGTGTGAATACAAATCTCCAACGACTGGCGTATGAAGCTCACTGGAGTTCACCCGCAGACGTATGGACAAAGGGCTTGTTGGATGTCCTGGATGTGTGGCCCCATTCAAAAAGGCGTATGAACCGAACTCCGGTCACCGGCTGCCAATGGATAGTGGACTCCCTACTCCACTCCTACTGCCTTCATGAACTCGTCGTCGTCGTCGCTACAACATCAACCAAATTCCAGTACTGGTCCAACAACGTCGCCTTCAGTGGTTTGGCCATGTTCTGCGCCGACCAGATGACGATCTGGTCAAATCAGTTCTAAATCCCTCGCCATTACCATCTTGGCGATGTCGCGATGGGGTGGACAGCTGAAAACGGCTTGGTACAGTCAAGGCTGATATGGAGTGCCTGGGGCTACACAAACCGTCTACGGACTACGTCTGTGGAACAAGAATTGGATAACCCTGTCGCAAAACCTTGCATCAGATCGCCGCGCCTGGGCAGCGATGATTCGAGATGTTCATGAAGCCGGCTCACCATCCCGTAGGAGATAGCCGAAGTAAAGCAAGTAGTGTGAAATGCAATTAAAATATTTGTGATTATAATCATAGTTTAATGTCAAGTGGCAAAGTAATGAATGTCATATATAGAATAATAATACATAAGGTGTATAGATATTGTTGGAAAGGGGTACATAATTATAAGATTAGTAGACGAATATAAAGTGTTACATAACATGGTGTGAAATTTGATAAGACAGAATTCAATATTGTAAAAATAAAAATACAAAAATTAATAATTTTGGGTCTAAAATGTCAAGTGGATCAAGTGGAAAAGATTCAGAGTGAGAATAGTAATAATAATAATTATTATAACAATAATAATAATAATCTTAGTAATAAGGGAAGAGTACATAAAATAACTAAATAAACAAAATAAATAAATGTCTATCCCTCTACGGCCAAGGCAGAAGTAGGGATTGTACATACTTCTTTTGTACACAAAGACCTGTCTGGCTGGCTTAAAGTCATGAATGGCCAAGGCCTCAGCTGTCTTTAAAAGTCTGTAACGAAGAGAACGCGGCCGGGAAGTTAGCATGGATTCTATTTATGATCTTAAAATCATGGTCAGGATTGACAGAGTGGCAGAAGTCGATCAGGTGTTCCAGAATAGAGCACTTCACACACACTTCCTTTCCTGCTTGTAAAGTCATGCTGGAATATGTCCTCATATCCGTGTGGAAGGCGTCCTTTGCTAACGGCCAATGTACTTTGCTCCACAAGAAGATCAGGTGAACTGACAGATGCACATGGAGGCGGCCAGACGGGGGAGCTTATCACACAGATGTAGAGAACAACTTGCTGCTAGTGAACGTCATATGTAATTTTGTTGCAAAGAACGTCTTTGTTAATTCCTTTCCTAACTGTTCATTCTCAATCTTTCCTTTGTTCAACATTATACTACTTGCCATTAGTAAGTAGTATGATTTTTATATGTTAATTTATAACAATGACATTTGCTTACAACTGCAGTTAAATTACTTGTTCTATTATCATTCTATTAATGTATAGTTCTTATTTTTCTTCTCCTTAAACATTATTTGCTGACCTTACCCTATAGTGTATGCTTTACTATTGAAAGTTGTTTGTTCATATTTGTTTATTCTTTGCTTGGCATTCGCGGGCCTTTTGAACGACACGTGGATCGACCTTGACACAGCATTGCTGGGCCAAGTTAAACTTTAAGCACCAGTAACTACCAATCAGCGAACGACGTCGATTTATCCAATGAGATTCACGAACGTAGTTCAATGTTGCATAGCGCTTGATTCATTTCACTGCGTGCCATTACAAGGTTACGTTTGCAATTTGAGGAGGTTTGTGTCTATTATTATTGCCTGGACTGAGGCTTGCTTGGAAAGGAGAGAAGTTGTTCGTGTGGTGGTGTAGTGACTCTAAAAAGCTATACTAGGTCAACTGATGGTTTTGTACATCTCTGTGGAATATGCTGGAAGCGAGTTAGTATTAGAGAGGGTAATATTTCTTAGGAACTGTTTTTGCTAGGTCTCATCTCTCCCTAACCTAGATTTTGTACATTTGCAACTACTGGATACTGAAACAGCCTGTGAGAGCCGCTGCTGCCGAGACGGAGAACAGCCTCGTCTCAACAGTTCAGTGGTACACCATTGGTATACCAGCACTGCAGGGACATCGCCTCATGGAAAATGTACAGAAGTACTTCGTTGTTAGGTGGGACGATGTAGTAGTCCATGTGGATGAGACAGTGTTGGTGAAGAAGAAATATAACCGCTGTCGTCAGAGCGCGAACAACATTTGGGTCATAGGTTTATACGACACATCCCTCCGAAAAGGGTTTGTTGAAACAATAGCAGACAGGAAGGCGACTACTCTGGTACCTATTATAAAGCGACTTGTGAAACCGGGATCAGTTGTACATACCAACGAGTGGAAAGGCTATCATTTGGTGTGACTTCTCTATTGACAGTCGCCCGCTGAATTGGGAAATGCTTCTGTCCCATGTCCGTGAAAGATACCCGTTGTAATTGTCTTATCCTATATTTTATGCATTTTTCTATGAATATACATTACCACTTATCATAAACGCCTCTTTCATGTGATTGGTCCGTTCAAGGTCGTTTGCTGATTAGTTGTTACTGGTGCTTAAAGTTTAACTTTGCCCTATAATTTGGATTATCGTTTCGGATTTCTTTCGGGAGAAATTCACAGTACTCAAAATTGGTCTTGTTGATCTATTTGGATAATTATCAATGCCGGTTACTCGTAATATGTCTGGAAAACGCTGAAGAATATCTTCGAGTCAATTTATCTTCACCGCAAGTTTCTTCTTTACCTGTTTCCTTATCTGATTTTGATAATTTTAAACACACCCCTCATGTCAGCTTAGGTTTTGATAATATTGCTAGGGGAGGTAGTGTAGTAG